CTCACTGACTTTCTAGTGAGCTCACTGCCCCATGGCAGGATGAATCACCTCTCTGCTGTTCCTGACAGATGTTTGTCTAAATACTTGTTAAAAGCTGTATTGAAGAGGAGTCCACAACTTGCTTGGACAAACTACCTCAATTTTTCATTTACTGTTACATGGTTTTTCCCAACACCTAACACAAATATCCTGCACTGGAACTTAAAATTCTTAATCCTGGACACAGAATCCTTTCTTCTGCTTGAACATTTTTAGTGTATCTGAAAATTTTAGGTTATTTCCCACCATGTAGGTGACAGAATCCTGGTTCTTTCCAATCTTTCCTCTTTACTCAAGGCTAAGAGAGATTCCCAAATCCCTTATTTACTGAGGAACATGTCCTGCAATTTTGATGTTTTTAGTACAGGGGTCAAGGACTCACTGGGGGAAAGAGAGCGGCAAATCCCCAGCTCCGGAGTCAGATTTCCAAAAGCAGTGCCAAGGCCAGGATTTGTGGTTGGACTCAAGGATCTTAGAAGTCTTTTCCAACCTGAATGAACCTCAGCAGGGTCTGCAGAGATGCACATCACCTGGCTGTGTTGGGTCTAGCAGGGAGGCAGATGGAGGTTCAGCTCAACGCCTGTACCAGGGAGCAAAGCTCATTTGCAGTGAAGAATAAAAAAAAGGAACAGAAAATATAAGAACTGTCTGGATCAAAACCTGCTGTAGACAATTCTTATTATCAAATAGCCTTCAGTACAATCTTTCCCCACTTTCTGTCGGAAAGGGAATGCTTAACCTACATCTTATGTAGGACGTGAGCAGACAAGAGCAAAGCTTGGGAATACAACAGACAGCCACAAAGAAAACCTCTTATATCACCTTCTGGTGAGAGCTCACCTTAAACGATACATTTTCAGACTTTTAAATTTTACTTGTAAATGTTGAGGATTAAATCCTGATTTCACTGGTCTCACAGCGAGATTTTCACCAATACCTTAATAAGAGTCACATTTCATGCTGCAGGGATATGAATTACAGATGGAATTACACTTTTTAAATGGTATTTCTGACTGTTTCATAAGATCTCCATATATATCACCCTGTCCTTGGAATACTATCTTGACAGTTTATACACAGAACACCCTCTGCAACCGTTTAAAAACAACAGCTTTAAGCATCCAAATATTATTTTCAGTGAAAGCAACAGATCTGTTTTGTAACAGCACATTTTAACAACACTCAGATAATTCAAGGAAAAGCTAAATCCTCCATCTTAAATTTCTGTCATGCAATTGGTTTGAGATTAACAACTTCTATACCTTAGTCTTTCACTTTGTTATTAGTTTTCCAATATTTTTTTCCTCATCTAGATTACCCTCTATTATTTAGTTATAACTTCCTCCATAATTGCAATCAATGAATAGTAATCACTTAATAAACATATCCTGACAGGTCTATTTTTGCACTGGGAAAAGATTAATTTTCTTTATCACCACTCCAGTAAGCAATTTTTTTTTTCCTTGCCTGAAGTAGCAAAGTGAACTGCAGTTCTGCTCAGCTACATACAGGCATCTGAGCAAGACCAGACACCCCTCCTTTCAATTTTATATTATTTGGATGTAGATTTACCAAAATCTGTGTTACTTGGAACATGCATTCATTTTTATTTGCGTTCATTCTTATATGTAATAGTACTGCACACAGGAAAAAGCTGCTTTGCAGTTTGTTAACACTGAGCTAACACTGCTGTGCTGGGAGGCTTTTCAGAGTGCTTTGCTTAAAACCAGGTGATGCTGAGAGAAACTGCACTTCTGGTAAAATTTTTGAGCTTAGATACTCAACATGGAAATGCCAAAGAGTGTGCATTCTGTCAAGTACCTGTTAAAGCCTAATTTGATATTAAATAGAATAACACATCCTGAGTGAACTTGGATACCTGCAGGTTGCTATGATGATTTCTTTCCCACTGCCATGTAAATACAGCACATGAAACTGGTAAAGAAACCCAAACAAATGCATTTTGGTTTGTATGTAGAAACCTGCTTTTCTTTCTCACCAGTCAAATCTATTTGTTCTAAGTGGGCCTGGCCTAAAGTCACTGGAATCACAGCAAGTTTTTCTGCTGACTTCATTTCAGACTAGGTGAAGCAAAAAGTGGAAATTCAGAGGAAATAACCTCTCCTATGGGATTCATACTGTTCTGCTTGAAGTCCATATGGAAAAACTCTCAAATGTCCTGTGAGGTAAGCCTGGCCATTCAGTGCTCCTGAAGAACTAACAGAAGTATTCAAAAATACGAACTGTGAACAAGGATGGGAGAGATTCACCCTCAGCTCCTTTGCTGTCTTACTCTGGTCTGGCCTGGATTTGACTTAGGACAAACAGACTGTGCAGTTTGCCAGGTACCTTCCAAAAAGGACTAAATCATAGCTTTGAATTAACAAAATGAAATAAAATAATTTAAAAAAAAATCAAGGTTTTAACACATCAAAAATGCATTCTTGAATGTTATCTTTTTAGGGGAACCCTCCTCAGTGAGCAATCCTGACATTAAATGGTGTGTTAAACTTTCAGTTGAAAGCGAAACCATAAGACAGAGCTTGAAATGAAAGTGAGTTTCTGTAAAATTTAAGTGCACTTCAGTTCTTCACACTAACATTTAAAACGTCTTGAGCAACTCATCCTTGTACCAAGGTATCGACTCACTCTAAGGACAAATTTTCCAGTGGTAACTTCTGGCATTTTTCATACCAATACTGACAAAAATTAGCTTTACCATCCTCATCCTCTGAACTCCCCCTGTGTATCGGTCCCACGTAACACAAACCAGTGGGGTCATGCTGAGCTGACCCTCTGAACTGAATCCCATTCCTGCTCTGTGCTTTTGTAAATGGCCTCAGGACACGATCATATGAAAATTCTTACTCATACAGGCTTATCACAAGAATATATACCTGTCTACCAACAACAGACAATTTAGGATTGCACTAATCTGATACACCACAACTAGGAGGACATACCTAAATTCTTTGCACCAGTCTCATCCTTGCCACAGGCAGAACCACATTAAGCTTCAAGGATATCTTTCTAACACATACCAAACAAAAGAAGCTTATGCATATTTTAATCACTTTAGAAGTATCACCCTTCCTCTGGAAAGAATTGATTACACATACCAGTAATAGGGAAGATATTTAGTTCAAAGCTCTGAAAATTAGACTTAAAAATCTCACTTCAGAGTTCAGCAGTTCAGCTTGCAATTTTCAGCACACTTTTGAGATCCTGGTAAAAGGCATCTTTTTGTCTGCACAGTAATGAAGACTTTACATACATTAATTACTTCTAAACATAGGCATATTACTAGGAGATTATAAAGCAAAACAAATTTTGCACAAAGCATGTACTTTTAAAATAAGCAACTATTACAGAATTTAATGAAAAAAAGATATATTAGGCATTTTGTAAAGAACTGAGAAGCACTTAATATGAAAACAAAATGCCTGGATTAATCTAGCAGAGGTGTGTTGATATAATGGAAGTCTGAAAGCAATTATGAAAGAATACTCTGCATCTGTGCTGGTCACAAAGTGTTCAGTCATAAAAGCTTTGATTTAAATCATATTAGCATAGTGTAGCAAAGCATGCAGCACCACAACATCAAAGGATATGCCCTGAAAAGATGTATCAATTGTTATTTTTTTTTCTCCAATAAGAGTATACTTTTAGTTTCCAACTCATGTGTTTATCAGAAATGATTTGTATATCCAGGGAGAAATCAGAGGGGAATGAAAAAGAAAAACAGCTTGAGGGATGCAAGAATCTCACCACACTTTTAAGTAAAGAAATAACAATTCACTTGTAATAAGACTGTCCCATTAAGGTCCCTGATTGCTATTAAAATCTCAATTGACCTACTCTTTTCTTTGTTAAATTTACCACCTTAAGATAATAAAACCAGCATGACTTTGGATTAGGACTCAGTAGGTTTCTTTTAAGGTATTCCATCTCAGTCCTCCAAAAATTTTCTGGAGAAAAGCACCCTTGCCTGAACCTCACATTGACTCAGCAGCTGGATACTCTTGTTCCAGATAAATTTGCTCAGACTTTTCAGAGAGGATGTGATCACTGAGAATTTCCCATTTTTGACTTTGGCATAGAGAAAATAACAATTTTCCCCTTTGTTTTGGGTAACTTTTCAAAATAATCCAAATAGACTGCTGGACTGCTTGGAGAGACAAAATAAAGAACTTAATTTAGGAGCAATTAATTCCTCTTCAGAATAAATTTTCTAGCACAGTGGTTGAGAGGGTAGAACATCACTGCCTTGTGTAAGTGTAACCCTTTTGAACTTCCCAGGTTGAGACATCACAGCTGAGATGGAACCATGTTGGTCATGGCCCTCTGCACGATGCCAGTGCTGCCCTGAGCAGCAGGATATTAGGGAAGGGGACAGCAGGATGCTGCAGTGCCCACAGGGCCCTCCCACCCTGGCACTGCCTGTGTGCAAACACCATTCCCACTGTCACAGCACAGCAGAAATCCAGGCAGCTATTTCTGTGCCACCAGGAACACTTAATCCTCCACCACTTGACCCCTGCTCTGGGTGGGGATGGTGGGGATGTGTTTCAGGTGTGATGTATAACAGCAGGAGAGCACTGATGCATCAGACCAGGAAATTAAAAGAGGTGCCATTCACACAAAGGAATATTTAGTTAAGTTTAAAAATCTTGGCTTGGATGATACCGAGATGAACCATTTGTTACATCTTCACTTACTATTGTTCACTTGCTGTGGAATTTGTTTGTTTGGTTTTTTTTTTATCTCTGCAAATCATTTTGTTACCGATTTTAAATGATTCCAAGAGCTCACCTGCATTTCACCCAACACCCTCTGAGTCAGAGCTAAGCACTAGGGCCCTTAAGGGAACAGCCCATTACAACACACGACAGTAACTATGTCTCTACGATTTATGAAAAGAAAGCAATATGTGCCTGTTTCGGTGCCTGTCGTTTGCCTACCAATGGTGCAGTGCTCCCCATTCCAGCCCTCTCTGCATTCACACTTCCCATCTTTACAAGTTCCGTGCTCCGTGCAGCGGGGGTGACACACGCGCTGGTCACAGGCCGCTCCCGTCCACCCTTCTTCGCAGCGACACGCTCCGCCCATGCACACCCCGTGGGTGCCACAGTCCACAGAACACACTTCTAGGAGAGAAAAGAAGGAATAACAAACTGATTTGCAGAGGGAAAAAAAAAAAAAACACCACGGAACAAAACCAACACCAACTGGAATTGCAGCGGGTACTTCGGTGGCGGCGGGGCGGGAGCAGCGGCCGAGTCGTGCAGGGAAGGGGAGCAGAACGAATGTGCTGTGGCTGCAAACTAAGTGCTGTCAAAAGCTGGCCTGTTCATACTCTGAGGAAAACTGGCATTTAACTTTTGCTTTAAAACTAAATCATATTTAAAAGTTGTTTAAAAAGTTCTGCTGGACGGACTGGGCTAGAACTGCGTCCTCTACGCAGATAGAAACAAGTTTCAGAGGTAGTGTCCCCAACAGCGCCAGCAGCCAGAATGGGAGCAGGTAGCTCTGCTTTACTCACACCTGGACCCTCAGGGGATACATTTCAGTGACAGACACTGATTTTGCTAAGAATGACACTGAAAATCACTCATACAGCAGAGAATGGTGGCAGTTCAGGGTCACTTAGACTCTGGGAACGATGAGTAAAAGACACTTTCAAAGGAGAGATCTTGGATTCCTACTACATGGTCAGTTATATGGTGTCTCACTCCCAAAATTCTACTGCTCTCTGTCAGTTACAGTTGTAGAAAAGCAGAGGGGTCTTTTGCCTCACATATCACCAAAGAAATGGAGAGTAAAACTCTCATTCACAAATTTTTCTGTCTGCTAATCCACGAAGCAGAAAACACACATCTTCATATTAATGTCACTGGTGGGGGGTTCTAAGCGATTAATCTTAGAAAATAACTGAATAAGTGTGAAAAATGCAAATATTATTTTGAGAGACTTGCTTTTGGCCTACAGCTCCCTCTCAAGGTTCACTTTACAATATAAATGTAAAATTCCCAGTATTTCCCCCCCCCTTACAAATAGAACATTTGCTGTCTTGTCGAATCTCTGTTGTCCTCTTTTGCTCCTTCTGTTAGAATAATCATGTTTTACCACTGTAGCTTTGGTGAGGATGAAAGTTTTAGCTAACGCTTTTGTACCTGCTTTTAAGTGTTACTTAACTTTTTTAAAATATATTATAAAACCTTAATATTATATGAACTTGCATAATAAAATATAAATATATATAAAACTTAGTATTATAAAAACAATATTATAAAAAACTTATTTTTTAAAAAATATATTCTACATACAACTGAAGAGGAAAAAAATACCCTTTATTTGAAAAGATAAATTTCTGGTTTGTGATGTTTTTCATAAATGAGTAGCATTTTGATGTGCAGTAAACTCCCAAAATAGACCTAAGTGGAGTGTTCTTCATTCTTTAAATGTTATACCCAGTTATAAATTATGGATGTTTTTATTTTCATTTACAGATGTGAGGCACTTATGCAACTTTTTTTATTCAGACTCAGGGCTAGAATAAAACACAAACTCCTAACCTGCATCCACCTCACCCCCAGCTGACAGTCCCAAACAAAGAATTTCACGAAAAAAAGTATCTGAGATGCATACACACTTCTCCCCAGCAGAACTAAAGAAGATCAAACACGTTCCAAAGACATGTTTCTAAATTATTTGCATTTCAAACCCGCAGCAGGTATCAATGTTTTAACAGAATAGGAGCAGTACTGCAACACGTTGCAAGACAATATTTTTTCTTACCAACGGAGCAGTCGGGGCCCATCCAGTTGGGATCACAGCTGCAGAGCCCTGTGTCTGACAGGTAAGTGCCGTGCCCACTGCACTGGTCTGGGCACTGGGCTCTGGGCAGCTCACAGTTCACTCCTCCCCATCCCGGGCTGCAGAGACATTCCCCGTTCACACACACTCCGTGGTTGGAGCACGTGGGATCCAAGCAATCCACTGCAGAAGAAAGCAAAAACAACGTGGGAAACGGTCAGTTCGCACAGTGTGATGTTTGGAAAACGTGCAGGCAAGCGCTCTGAGAGGTTTGTATCACTGTGACAAATAAAGATTGAGGTAGTTCTTATCAACAACCTGGAGTGAGAATGGGGAAGCGAAGTGATTTATATTTTACATTAAATAAAACGAATAAACCAGGGTTTGACTGAACAATGACAGTTTACTGCAGCAATGCTTTGGTGGGGAAGCAAAAAGACTTAAAAATAGCATTTAAATATATATAACAAGAGTTTCACATATTAGCCCGGAGACATTCTTCTGAAATACACTGAAGTTCCAATGACTCATGTACTGTACTTAAATTAAAAAGTAAGTTAATAAATTGCAGCTTTAAAGGATTTTTTCCTTTGGAGTATCTTCAGTCCTGCTATTGTTACTATTAAAATGCTCCAGCATTGTGAGAACAATTATGACAGCCACTTCAAGTACCTAGAAGTCAAAATACCAGTGGCTTTCAGCTTCATTTAGGCTTCTAATCATTCAGGTACTTCTGAATGTTTGATCCATGGTTCATTATTAGCTGAGCTGTAAAACTGAGAGCCCTAGTTACTTCAAACCATATTCTAACCAGCAGCTTGTTCCTCTAAAAGAAATAAAAGCAGATACAAACACGGATTTCATATTTTCTCAATCCAGAAACAACAGAGTAAGAAAGTGAAAAGAGTTATGACAGAAAATGATGCAATGAAATTTCAGTTGCTATTTCAATCCTGACAAATAAAGGAATGTTATGAGCTGCCTTTCAAATAAACTTTATCAATAAACTTTATGAATTTCCAAATTTTTATCTTATATCATGAATTTGTATAAACACACTGTGCTGTACTGCAAACACCAACACAGAGGCTTCACCAGCTGCCTTTTGCTGTGGAATTGAGGGCCAAGGTCAAATTCGTGCCTTAAATAACCTGAATTCATCTCATGACTGGTATATATTAGCTCACAACAACAGGGCCAAGAATGATTGGCATTCTCTCTCACTGTTCCAGGAAGATCTGAGTTTATAATGAAAGTGATTTATCTCTCATCTTTTCCAAATTGATCCTTCTAAATTAAGGCAGAGACATTTTCACTCTACCTGATGGGAACAATACTTGATCTTTCAAATCTCAGCTTTTCTATAAACACAGAGCCTTGTCAAATTATTTTATGTAGTTGCAGAACATTTAAAGTAAGTATATAGATTAGATACAAACAGAGGATTGAGGCAGGCACAGAGATGCAATAACATGAGTTATCAGAATAGTTTTGATTTTAATTCAGATTACAGTAGTACAGGAATAAATTACTGTAAAATTTCTTACAAGATTTTCATTTTAATGATGACACTGGCTATAGTTTTGGGTTTTTTTAAGGTTTAAAGCTTAGCTACTGAGACAAGAAAATATTCAAACGCAATTTCGTATTTATAGGTAAACCAAGATTGTTTTGTGGTTCAGCTCTGACAAAAGTTGATAAATTAATAAATTGTTCTAAAGTTATGCAGAATGCTTGTCCTGTACTGTTAGTCCTTCTTGGTGTTTAACAAAATTATAACCTGTCCAAAGTTTAGAATACATCTTTCATACTATTTCTGTTGAACCCAATAGACTCAGAGCTGTGACAAAACAATTCGATTGAATAAAGAAGAACATAAAAACTTAGATCAATCTACTTTTAAAATGAAGGCTACTGCCACCCCTACATTTAAACTATTACATTTTTTTTTAGATTGTGATATTTTAATGGAAAATTTAGAAGGGTGATTGTGTATAACATCATATGTGGCAGGACAGCTACTTTTAGGAGATAATGATAACTCATAATGTACTCTCCTTGTCAAGAATGTATCATCTTCTCAATTGAAAGCACTAATGAAAGGAATGGAGAGCATGTGAAAAACACCACCTTCTGCTACAGAAATTAACAGTCTTTCCTCTATCCTGAATTACAGTGCTCATACAGCTGAGACTTACTTCCACAGAACAAGCCTATCAATGCTCCTCAGCCTTGTTTTACAGGATAATACACTAAAGACCTTTATCCTTTGTTCCAGACAAATATATTTTACAGCTGTTTTGTTCTATCATATGGGTAAGTAGCAGCTTTCAAAGTTAAAACTGAGGAGAGTTTTTACTTTGAGCTCCAATCTTGTTCTATTTTAATACCTGCTCTTAAGAGTTATCATCTCGGGCCAGATCCTCTGCTGTTAAAATTAGCATAATGTCATTACCTGCAATAGAACTGCACTGACTTATGCTGCAGAGGTGCTGGCCCTGAGCTGGAGGAGGGTTTACAATGGTATTTAAGAAGGATTTATAAACGGACTGTCTTTGGTGTTTCAACAAAGGAGAACGCGCAGGTACGTTAGACTTGCAACTCAGGGCCCCTTGGCAGCTCAGATCATTAGAGCTCATTTAGTACTGGGCCCTCTGTAGATTTGACAAAAAAGGTACTGAAAGCAATTTATATCCTTAAGGACAAAAAAGGAGGTCAAGGAGTTTTCCAAACAATATGTACCACGGAGTCCCCAAAGAGCCATGAATTACACTCCCGAAGTTAAATGTCATTGAGAAATGACTCGACCACGAAAGCGACAAGAAAACCACCCTTAACTTAACCTAATTTGGTGATTTCACTTGTCTCCCCACAAAACCAGATTGAATGAAGCCTGGCAAATAGTCCACTTCATCTTGTGTGCAAATCTGTTAATAGAACAACAGTGTTTATGCTGCAAAAATTGTGCATCACAAATATTGATTTTGGTGCCACTTTCATTTCAGGTAAATTGTTTGAACAATATGACCATGACGAATATCAGAAATAAAAAGCTATTGGGAAGACAAAAACGCTGACCCACTTGTTCTAATTCAATATCCTAGTTGGAAAATGGTAAATGAATCAACCTTTGCCGTTCCTTTTGGAAGTTCAGATCAATAGAGGAGATTTCATATATTATATTTAAGTACACATATATTATTAGTATCATTCTGCTATTAAAAGGGTAAATTTTTAATTCATGCAAAAACTTGAAATAAAACTAGATGATTAACTGGAGAGACACCACATCACAGTATACCCTTTTTTCTATAGCACTTGGAATTAATGTAAGAAATATGTACAAAAGAAATGGAATTTTAGGGTAGAAACATGATGGTTGTTTTTTATTTATTTTCAAATTAATTTTTCGACTTATTTATTGCCCAATGATATATGCAAAAGGTTATTTCAACCTTTCTTGTCATGTTATTGACCCCTTCCAAGTTTGTAGCAAATACCTCCTGCCTTTGTAATCCATTTATCTTTTTAAGAAAAAACATCCTTCCAAGCACAGTGTTGATTAAATAATGTCTATCCTTTCATCTCAAACAGCAATTCACCTCCCAGAAAACTTAGCTGACTGACAATGTTTTGTAGTGGTCCCAGGTTTGGCTGGTGTTAACACAACACCTTTGTTCTATAAACTTTTCTGGAGCTGCAGATGTGTTTGTTTCTCTAGTTTCAAACATTCACCTCAAGATAAACTGAATTAAGCACTACAGGAGCCTATTTCTCTTACAGGAGCCTAAGGAATCCAAGGCATCTGGCCCAGATACACCACAGCCATTCTAGACAACTTAAAGCAGAGAGAGAATTCCACGGAAGTAGCTGGAAATTACCATCAGGGTGAGGGAGGAGCTGCTTGCAAGGTAAAATTTGCAGAAGTAAGAAAGATCATTTTAGGCAATCTACCATAATCTGGCTAATAATACAAGCATTTTTATAACACAAAACGTGATTAAATGTATCAAGCTCAATGAGACCAAGCAAACAATTGCAGTTAGTACCTGAAAGAGAGCTTTTGCACTCCTGAGAATAGATTGGATGTTGTAGAGCAAGTTAAAGACAGTTTTTTTCCATCTTCGATTTCGATGCAAATGATAGTTAAAGCAAGGCATTTTAGATAATTTTGGAAAATCTCCCATAATCTTACACTCAGTGTGAACTGAGAAGTATCAGTTCTAAGTAGACAAAAAGGACATTACAGCATTTTCTGGATATAGTTTGAAATGTAAGCCATTAAAAACAATGGAAAAACTCTTGACAACAAGTGAGTTCTGGATTAAAGCTGTAATAACCAGTGTTGGGAACCTTCAGTGGAGGGAGGTGACAGGAATGAACTGAACAAGCAGTTGTAGTGTTGGCAGTCCCACTAGTGAGGATCCTTGTGTTTTTTTTTTTCCTCTTTAGCACAGTAAGTTCACTCAGACTAATGCAAGATTTTGTCCTAAAGGTGACAACTGTAGTCCAAAAAATAAACCCCTTAGTGGTTTAAGTCCCCATAGTTTTCTTCCCTTCATTTTCTGATGGGAGAAACAGCTCTTTATTATAGGGTAAGATAAAAATCAATACACGTGGTGGACAGCTCTGCAACCCATTCAGAATATTCCAGAGAGACTCCTTAGTCCTAAAAGCTTGTCATCCCAGTCCTATCACTTTAGTACTCAAGCTGCTTCTCCTTTTGGAGGATTAATGAACTCTGGAATGCCATCATAACATAACATGAACTACTACTGCCCTGAGGATGTGCCAAGGAATGCTGAACTGCCTGTTAGCAACTGTCTGAGGAATTAAATTCCCTTTTAAAACCATACTAATATACTTCAAAAAGAAAAGCAGTCCAATTTATGTTGTGCATTCTAACAGAAAACACTGTGAATAAAACCAGGATTGAGCTTAATCTATGACTGCATTTTGCAGGGTTATTTTGTTAAATTTGCTCATTCTACACACACAAGGAATTGGACACTTTAAACCTGGAAAGGTTTTCTGCATTTAAAAGGCATTTTTTGTTCATGTGTACCTTTCTTAATCCTGTATGATTGCAGCTAACAGGAGTAATTTGCCCTACATTAACTCTGTAAGTCATACAGTTATCTAAGTCTTTCAAATTTGTTTCATGAGCTTCTGTCTTAATAGTGATTGATACGTGCGCTTTGTGTGAAGCTGAAGCTGTACAATTTTGTCTACCACTGCTCCTTTTTCCTCTGCATTTCACACCTAAATTGTTCAGTAAATACAATCCATAAAAAAAGATTTTTCCCTTCACTCTTCAACAAAGGAATTATTCAGCTTTACTTGTGGCAGACACTCTCAATGCTGCAAAACAACATATGCAGAAGGCCAGAAGTTTCATCTGAACTTTAATAAACCGGTAAAATTGTGACTACCCTCTTTTACAATAATCTGCTACAGCAGTTTCATGCTTAGATTTTTGCTCTGTTCTTTCTTTTCCCCCTACTCATTAAATAATTCCAAACCCCAGAAAACAAGCTTACAACACAGAAAATAAACATGCTTACCTTCCTCACAGTTTTCTCCTTTGTAGCCCACGGAGCAGACACAGTTCCCTTCGATGCAGGAACCATGACCTCCACACGAGGGATCAATACACTGGCTGATGGGTACATCACATTCTGGACCTTTCCAGCCACTGTAGCATAAGCAGGTGCCTTTGGAGTATTGACCATTGCCACTGCACAGAACCGGGCAGGCAGCTGGAAAAGGGAACGAAAGGAAAACAGCATCCAGGGTCATGCACGTATTCCTGTAAAAGTGCACTAAAAATCCACTGCCAAATAGCTATAGATACACTCAAATATGCTAATTTACTGGGGAAAAAAAAAATCTAAGACAATTTGCAGTAGTTCAGTTCTTCGTTTCCCAAAGAAATAATTTGATTACTATCTAATAAAGCACTCTTGGGTTGGGCATTCCAAGAATACAACTCCTATTCTTTATAAACTACTGATGGTATTTGGGATAACTAATGAGGCAGTGTGAATAGATTTGAGCCTGACATTACTCTGCTTTGTTCCTTTAGCTAAAATTCAATTTTCACAGCTAGCAGAACACAAAACATTCAGTCCCCACAACATTTTATTATATAGCATCTTTCTTCTTTCACAACATTTTTTAATGTAATGTCCCCATAGTTTTTTAGATCCTTTGACTTTCAATGTAAGAATCTTGAACACAAGCTTTCAGCTACTAGAAACGCCCCTTGCCACCAATATCCCTGGTGAACCTGGTTTCCCCAAATCCCAGAGTGACAGCTTTTACCCTGTGTGTATTGGCAAGAAAGCACCATTATTAACCCCTATCCCTCACCCTTGTGTTATTAAGGGGGTAAGACACATTCTGAGCAAATAGTCATTAATGCAAATGAAGTGAAGCCTATGAATAATAAAGGTAGTTGGCAGGTCTTGGGTGCCAGGAATCAGATGTTGTACATATGCAGAGCAATGGAAAGAAACAAGTGGTTTATTAAAACCCAGCTGCATATAAATGTTACACTAAGGCCTATTCACACTCCTTTATGCCCATGTCTCCCTTGTAAACATGGCAATCTGTGATCCTCTGTGCCTGTCAAAGACTGGACGTGGTCCCTACCCAGAGAAATGGAAAAAATAACAGAAGAATAACAGAAAATGGGAGGAATGAAGTGAATCTTGGAGAAAAGGTACAGTTTTGTGCTCTTCTCTCTGATGCAGTTTGATAAAGACAGAAAAGTGTTTCCCTGTCTCCTCACCCTTCAAAGTAATTAGAAACTAACACCTAGTTTTACAGTGCCAAAAATATACTCAAAAGCGACTATTAATCATTTAAAGGTCCTAATGCCTTCTTGGCTTCTATTATCCCTTTAACCTGGATGATCAAGAAGAACCCAAGTAATTGATTTCCTACAAAGAAATGTGTAATGGTCCAGTTATCCAACTTCTCCACTGTTCAGTCCTGCAACCCTTATTAATCTTAGCTGTCCCATTGATCTGCTGCAAAAACACATTTCGGGATAGATTTTTTTCAGGAATTTTCTTATTTGAAATGGGAAAAAATTGATCAGACAAAAATAAATTCAGATTTCTAACCTGAAATGTTAGCTAAAATTTGGAGTGCTGAGAGTTATTTCAATTAAGACTACAGGTTGACGGGCCACATATCACACATATAATCTTTTTAGCCTATTTTTTTTCTACAGTAAAACAATGAAAAAATCAGTATGATAGAGTTTGGGGGTTTTTGCTACTGTTCCTATGTCTCAGAGCCATATTATCCATCCTTTGGTGGCAACAGGACTTCATTCTACTGCAGACCTGGTGCTCTCTCTCACTGTGAGTCTTGTCCAGTTGCTTTCTTACTCACTCCAAAAATGAACACAGATTTGAATAAAGTATAATTTCCAGCAGCAGCATTTGCATTTCAGATGTGATGTATGTTCACTGAGTTCAGTGAAAAACATTTATGCTAAAGTTCTACCGGTTTTGCTTTTTTGCAGCTGGTTTCAGAGTTAAGTTTACTGAACCAGCTGGATTGAAATACTACACAGACAAACATCCATTATGTCCATACTGCACTCCAGGACAGCCTGTTTTACATCTTTTTTGCATGGCATCATCAAACACCCTTCCATGATATTACCACATGCTGAACTAGTAGCAACCTGAATGCTGTGTGACCATTCCTTCTGCCTGCAGGTATCACAGCTGGAGCCTGGCTCAGTTCCCCAGGGTTCACAGCCCTTCACTGCCCAGGTGTGCTGCTCCTCCTGCAAGTCACACAGGTGAGCCAGGAAGAAAGGGATCGACCTGGCACCACTTCCACTTTTCAAGCACAAAGACCTGGGGGCACAAACAATTCCTCTGTCCATAACTCTCCGTTTCACTGCTATTAAAAGGCTTGTTTGGGCTGACATTGATAGGTTTTCCCAAATCACTGTAAGAACAGCAGTCACTTCTTCCTGCTCTCTTTATTTGCCTGAAAAGGCAGCCTGTCCTGAAGACCTGCAGTAATCATGAGTGGCCAGGTCCTTGGTGCCATCTTGCACACCCTGACAGATTGTAGAGACCCTGACCCTTTATTTGGGCCTCATTTTAACACAAAAACCTCCCTCTCTAGCACAAGGCAATGTGTTGGTTAACCCTGCAGTCCCTCTGTTCAAGTCCCCCACAGAAGGAAGTAAGATTGTTATTCTCTGCAACAGTTCCAAGCCACTGCAGAGACTCAGAGTTGCCATTATTGATGGTTGCTCAGTGTGGATTCTCCAACTGCACTGGGACACTGTTGCTTTTGCCCATCAAACTCCTCCCCATGCTGTGATAAAGCTGCATAGAAAGAAAATGTCCCAGGAAAGCTAAATGAATCCGTGGGCAGTAGACAGTTTCTTTGGACAAACCACGTCTGTTCAAGTAGTTATAAAGAGAAAAAAGTAAGACTCAACTCACAAACTGGATATAAGTGAGGAATAGCTTTTTTTGTGTTGTTGTTTTACAGGTTAACATGTCACTCACCACCTGAAAGGACTTCTGTTCTGCAAACCTCTCCTGTGGAGTGGAGTGAAAACTCAAATAAAGACAAAAACTGTATTTAAACAGCAAAGTTCCTTGTAAGAGGGACTGAGCAGAAATAACTCCATTCCTAAAATAAATAAAAAAAGGCAACCAAAACAACAACAACAAACAACCCAAGCCACTTAGATGTGACCACCCTAGATCTAGAGTGGTCTAGACCTATAAATCTGTGCCAGGCATCTGCTGTAAGATCAATTCTCTGCTTGCTTTGCCCCTAAGTCTCATTAAGCAATGGGCAGTTGCAGTCCAGCTAAAGGAGATGTATATCTGCTATTTGGAACTTGTCTCTGGAAAGGCTGTTCTTAGCTCCTACTTTTGATCTGGATTTGCAGGGTTCAACTTCTGGGACACCAGAGACTGGTACAGGAGAAGAAAGATTACTAAATAGTGCTGGGTCTTGAGCTAAAGAGCTCCCACAGTAGATTTTTAGTTTTCCCTCACTCTGCTATGGTGCTCCAGGAATTTAAGTAAAGCTGAAAGCCATGTCACAGCTTTTCATTCCTCTCTTCATGCTTTTACCAGGTCAGAGGTCTTGCTATGGTTCATAAATCTATTCAGTCCTTGTGAAGCTTGTCTATGAGTTGAACAGCAATCTGCCTTCAGTGGTTTGCCACTGCAATGTGCATTGCCACGATGTCACTGACACCAGAACTGACTTGGGACAAAAAAGAGAATCTGTCATTTAACCCTAGGGATGAAGTGAATACAGTTAAGATTAAGACACTTGCAACTTAAAGCCGCAGTTTAATCTACAACCCTCTGCTGGGGTTATTCTACAAACTGTGTGAGTGGAATATCACTTTGAGAGTAAGAAAATTGACAGAGAATCTGGGTCAGATTTTGGCATTTCCAAGACTGCCATGTCACTAGGACTGCAGAAGAAACATGTAAGCAAGAATGCAAGCAAGTGTGGGTTATAAGAAGCTGGCTTGTCACTGCTGTAATAAATGGTTCTTCCTTAATCTCTTTGGTATGGGTTTATAGGCTGTTCTGTGTGAGGAAGAGAGAGAATCAAGCTGCTTTTCCACAGAAAACTGGAGCAGGTAGCCAGAAAAAGGTTTGCTACGCCTATTTGCTAGACCATGTTGCTGCAGGATGAGATCCAAACCAATCCACTCTAATTTTACACCCAGGCAGCTTCAATTAATGTGGAAACTACTCAAGAATCATCTGCAGTTCTTGTTTAGGACTGTTTATGTTTCCCTCCGTGAAGTAGATGGCCCTTGTTCCAGGACAGGACTGACTGCCCGAAGTCTGTTGAAGGAATGTGAAGGAAGGTGGTTTATGTAATGGAACAATCAAGTTCCATCCCATTTCTGTGGGGACATAAGTTGCATATCTCACAGCAGCACTGTCAAAAAGTAGACAGAGATCTTCAGGAGTAGTTATGGCACACTCAAGCAAGTTAGGCACAAGGGTATACATCCTTAGTGAAGGCTGAATGAGCACAACAGGCATTAACCCTAAATGTGGTTTTGGTGATGTGATTCTGCCCTTTACTGGTATTTGAACAAAACCAGACTGTTTTTCACATGGGTGTCAGCTGATGAATGGATACTACAGACCCTTGAGCCCTGTAGGCTGCACACATTTAAGAACATCAATTAAGCAAGAAAGACAAGCCAAACATCCCCCTAAAACTTCTCTCTCTAAAGATTATCTTTGGAGAGTTATTTTGGAGTAATGTTGATATTCCCCGATGCATAAGGAGAGGTGATTTGGTAACAGCCTGTTCCACCTGGATGAGGAGAGGAGATGGCAAGGGGTAATGCCCAAATGGTCTGGCATCAGAAGCCACCAGGTTTCCCAGCTGCAGCCTGAGCACACACTCCTTTCACCCACCCTTGCAGTATTTACACACACATACTCACCAGGGGTGTTCTTCTAGAGCATGGCAAGAAACCAGTAAAGGATATCTGAGGAGTCAAACTCTTGGAGGCTGTTGCAGAACTCGGGTTAGTTACCCAGCTGCTTGCTTGAGAGGCCTTCCCCTGCTACTTGAAGTTCCAAACAGGATGTGAAGGCAGAGTTCTGGTTTGGTTTCTCTTGTTGTAGAGCAAACATTACCCTGGTGCAGAGAGTCCTGGGATCTAGGCTGTCAGTTCTCTACTGCAGACTTTTTTTCAGTTCCTCCTCATAAAATACACAAA